AAATAAAATTCTGTTTCATCCATTAGGAAAAAATAATGGTTGGGAAATCAGGATGAGATGGCTCCTACAAAGCAAATTGAAGACCGGAGGAAATGTGCATAATTAAGATTTCATTATCATATTTCTATTTGCCACAATTTCTACTTGTAGTGTTATGTGTTTCAAAAATTCTGTATTTTATTTATTTTATTTTTTATTTGGTACCAGGGATCAAATTTGGGACCTTGTACTTGCCATGCAGGCAACAGAACCACTGAGCTGAATCCCCAGGCCTAAAATTCTGTATTTTAGATGCATGATTTATACATGCATATTTATGCATGCATACATGATTATGTTCCATGTTTCTAGTTGTTCCACCAATAAATATATTTACATGTGTCTAATATGGAAATATTTGCCAGACCAGGCTCGGATTTCAAAGGAGGCACAGAGGCCTCAGTCTAGTTATAAGGTGGGCAGCTGTAAGACAACATCTGTCCAGGAAGACCTCGCCATTCACCTCAGCTCACTGCCATAATCAGTGCGAACATCATAGAATCTGTAATTTTCATTAGCTCTGCTCTTCTATAATTACCTACCAGTTTCTTTCACAAGTCATTTGTCTCAGCAGGATGTATGTTTTCTACTTCCTTTGTATTTTTCTATGTTGTGGTATTTTGCAAGTGGTAAGTGCTTCTTTAATAGACCAGTATAATTCTGAGTTTAGGAAATTCATCATTCTCTTACTAACTAAAATATGGTTCAAAGAATAGAACCCTCTTCTATAAAGAAGAAATTGAAATCAATCTTATTCAGGCAGCACTTTAGGAGACTGGAGGAATAATGTATGATCCCTAAATTATATTTCAACACTCCACAAATCTGGGGAGACATCTGAGCCAACTCACCATCCATCCCTTAGAACATGTTCATGGCTCTCCTCCTGTTGATGTCCCTCTTGATTTGGCAAACAGAGCAAACAGGACAGCAGAGAGTGGCCATGAAGTCATCACAAATAGAGCCCTGTTTGAAAACACAAGAGGGGCAAGAGGGTAAAATGCACCCATTTGCAATGATTTTCAGGCATCTTGAAAAGAAGCAAAAGCCACTGAGCCTTGGGATTCAGTTTGGGTGAGTGGATTTAGGAAAATGTTAATTGGTTTTTCCATAGAACTCCCATCTCTTTTTATGACCTATGCTTTATAGTTCCAAGACTCTAAGAAGACTTCCAACCAGCACCAGGGTGTGGGTGCAGCGAAGAGCTACAGGAAGTAGGATCTCAGAACTCTTTCCTCCCACGGGCTCTGTGCCTCCCGTCCGGAGGGTGGCAGGCAGGGAGTGATCTCACATGGAAGATGAAAATATTAGGATGCCTGGTGTGTTGCATGGATTGGGAAGAGATTTAGAAAACTGACAAAGAACTCAGGGCTAAGGTACCCATAAGGAAATGGAGAGAAATGAATAATGAAATAAAACCAGGGCTGGGGATTTAGCTCAGTGGTGCCGCTGCCTGCCTTTAAAGCGCAAGGTCCAGAATTCAACCCCCAGTACTACAAAAAAAAAAAAAAAAGGAAATGAAACCAATAGTTATTTATATTTTGGTTCTTTGGGGCTGGCCTTGAACTCACTGTGTAGCCCAGGCTGGCCACAAACTCTCAGCAATCTTTCTGCCTCAGCCTCCTGAGTGCTAGGGTTACAGACATGTGCCACCACGTCCAGCAACAATGGTTGTTAATATCAAGAAAATGAGAGTTTACCCCAAAGAAATCATGTTCACAACATGTCTCAACTCTGAAATTGAATGAAGTGTAAATATCATAGCATAAATGCAGACTGTAGAATTAACCAGTCATGTCAACTGGGTGGGCTGAATGGGTTGGGAGCGGGTATAGTTGGGGTGCGGAGGAAACAAAGCTAAAGTCTCATCTTCTGTGGGGGGAGGTAAATAAACAGTGTCCCAAATCAAAAAATTAAAAAGCAGCAATAGGAATCTGATTTGAAGGTATGGAGGAAAATGGCCCAAAAATCTGTTCCTGGGAAAGAGAAGTAGGAGAAAGAAATTTGAGGAGTACAGTTTTTCTTAACAAACCTTGCAAAATTAGATCATTTTAAAATAATTTGTTTCAGGGCTTTGATAAGTGAAAGCTGTATTAGAACAACAGGAAGTGGCATTTAATAAGGATGATAGGAAGTGAAACCTAGCCCAGGAGCCTGAAACCTAAGGCATCCAGGCCTGACAGACACACAGGAGGAGCCCTTCGCACTGTGCCAGGAGGGTGGGCAGCTGGGGGAGGTGAGAGAGAGGGCACTTGCTCAGGAATTCCATCACAAACGCAAGAAGAAAATAATAAAAGATAAAGGCATCTTGTCACAGCAGAGAAGCTCAAATCCTCCTCCCACCTAGCAGGTCAGGGAGGAAAACTACTTTTTGTTTGGTATGGGGTGATGGAGGGGCAGAGAGAGAAAGGGAGGGAGGGAAAGAGAAGGAGAGAGGGAGAGACAAGGAGAGAGGGGGGAACAGAGGGAGAAAGAGGGAGAGAGAGAGGGAGGGAGGGAGGGAGAGAGAATTTATGGATCTTTTTGTTGAATGAATCTTTTCTGGTTCCTTTTGTTCTCTTTCAGATATGTCACTATTTTTTGTCTGATTAATGATTACCTTAAAATTTTACCCCCATTTATATTTCTCTACCAATGTCAATAAAATAG